GGAGACGAGTGTGTCCAGAAGACGTTTGCAATTTCATGTGAATAATTTTGTAACTGACAGGTGGAAGTTTACTTTGGGTAACTTATACATATAATCTGTTTATCACCTACATATTTTGCCAGAAAGTTTCAAACAACTTTGCTTGTTTGCTGAATATTTTAATTTCTTACTAATCTGCATCTCATTGTTTTTAAAAAGTATTCTACTTACTTACTAATTCAAGTAGCAATATGTAATAACCCTTCTACCTATATCATACAAATACCTAAGGAGCATGAGGAACTTTGGGATTCCATCACTGTGGGAAATTTATTAAGAATCCTTTCTTTCCCTCACATAGCCCAATGCCTATGTCAGAAGTGCAATATGATGTCTATGTCCTGTCTTTGAGTTCCAGACCAGCTGGAACTACAGCTAAAGGAAGACCCTGTCTCAAAAAGACAAAAAAAAACTTTAAAATAGTGCATATTGCAACCTAAAATTCTACACTAGCCTAACATTTAACAACATAAAAATTATTAATGAAGTTATTAATCCATTAAAATACATAGCAGAAAAAGAATGATTGAAAACAATCATGAAAATATAAGGAAGAATGGAAACTATATGCTGTTATTGAGGTACAGCAGGACTGTGAGCTGAACATAACGAAAAAGCTCAGTATCGCCATGATAAAAGATTAGAAATATAAAAAGTAATTATTCCCTCCAGGCTAAGTACCCAACTTTTTTTCAAATATTATTGTGAAATACCCTTGCAAGTAAACAAAATCGAAGTGAAACGAAGAAAAAGAAGCTCTCAATTCCTTATTCATTAATAGAAGAACTGTTAATATGAAATAAACACAAAACCTACTTTTCATCTATAACTTTACGTAAATAGCTTGTACTCTAACAGTTTGTGTCTTGCTTATCTATGAGGGAACAAAGCTGCTGTGTTATTAATGGTAGCTAAGAACATCCTATAAAATCTACAATCCGTGGAAAACCTTCTGTTGTCAAGATGTCTATCTAAGAAATCAGCATGTGAGCATTGGTTGGGAGACTCCTGCTCTAGAATCACTAGAAAGGTTTTAAAAAAAGCAAATAAGAACTAGGAAAAATGAATCAGTAAAAAGAAAACCACACAAAATGGTAAGAATTAGTACATGATATTCAATAATAACTCAGGACGTAAATGATCTTAATTCTCTAATTAAAAAACATAGATGGGTTGATTTAATTTTAAAAAAACAGTCCAACTGCTTGCTATATGCAAGAAGCAAACCCTAATAACAACAGCAAACACAGAGTGAAAGCGAAAGTTGCAAAAGAAATAATCCAAGTCAATGGACTCTGAAAGCAAGCATGTCTCTATGGATTACAAGCCAAAATGAGTCAGAAGACAGAGAATGTCATTTAATTTTGATAAAGGGCCCAGTCCGTCAAGAAAACATAACAATTATAAATATAGATGCACCTGATTTTATAAAATAAATGCTATTGGAAATACTGGGTGAGACAGACCTCAGCACAGTAAGAGTAGGTCACTTCTATACCAATAGGTCATCAAGACCAAAAACCACTCAAGAAAGAAACACCACAGAAAACTGTAGTATAGGTAAAGTGGATCTAATAGATATCTGTGGAATATTTCATCCAACAGCTGAGGAACACACTCTCAACCATGCATGAAAGTTTCTCCAAAATAAATCACATCTTATGACATAAAGCAAGTCACACACAAAATTATTTCTTATATCTTAGATCATAATAGAATAAAACTAGAAATCAATAGCAAGATAAACTAGAGCAAATACACAAACATTTAAAATTCAAACAATATACTTTCTGGGGCTGGAGAGATGGCTCAGTGGTTAAGAGAACCCACATGGCGGCAAACAACCATTGATAACTCCAGTTCCAGGAGATCTGATGCCCTCTTCTGTCCTCCTGTGGCACTGTACGACGCTGGTGCACTTACACACATGCAGGCATAACACTCATACACATTAAAAAAAATAAAATGAAATAAATAAAATAAAGTTAGAACAATATAATTTTGTTCAGAATGTAGCATTATCAGAAACCCTCAAAAAAATAAATAAATAAATAAACCCCTGGGGGAGGGAGTCTAAATTTGATTAAGATCTATTATAGGGTCTGAAATGGCTTAGCGGTTAGGAACATTGGTTGCTCTTGCAGAAGACTCGGGTTCAAATCCCAGCACCCACAAGGCAGCTAACAGCTGTCTGTAACTCTGGTTCCAGGGGATCCGACAGCCTCTTCTGTCCTCCATGGACATTGCACAACATGGGTGCACTTATCTATATGCAGGCAATACACTCATACACATAAAATAAAAACACTAAGTAAAATATTTTTAAAGATCTATTATAGAAAATATACAAAAACTCAATAAAAAATATTTTAAAAAAAAAAAACATTAAAAAAAAAGAAATGCACTGTTGGGTCCTGTAATGACATCCAGGGTATGAATGCATAGATTTTGAATTGCACCTTGAGGCAAAGGCTACTTCTTTACCTTCCAAAAACCACAGAGATCTTTAATCAAATTGATGAGCACCAGACCATGTCATCTATTTTGTGATATGATCCAATGCTGATTGACTATTAAACATTTATTCTTCAGCACATTCTGCTTCAATGAGTTCCCTTCGGTGTCCTAGCAATATTTTATAATTTTTTAAATATGTATGGCTAGGAATATATCCAGTACTAACTGAGCATTTCAAAAGTAAATCAAGACAGGCTCATTTTTTCCACAGATGCCTTGCCTTCCACACTTAAGCTAATAGAACCAGCAGCTAACATAAATACCCGCCATGCATTTCATCTCTATTATTTTTCCAAGTTAACTAATAAAATTTCAGAGTAAATAAAAACCATAAACTAACTTAATAAGAAAAGATTTACAAAATTTAAAAAATAGTCCAGTATAATTCTTTTGAAGATGAAAAATTGAATGTCAGAGAATATGTCAACATGTAAATGTAATTTATTTTAACATATATATTTTCTTTAAAGAATAAATGAAATGTGGTATAGATGATCACACTGTCATTTTACAGAATTCCTAGCTTACAGATATATATTATATATCTTTATATATGTATATATATTGGGGATGTATATACATATATATGTAGGGATTTTGACATTCAAAGGCATCTGGCAATGCCTGCAAATATTTACCATTTTCACAATGAGGGCCACTATCCACTAGTGGACAGAGTGCAGAGACTCTACTAAATATCCTACACTATAAGAGACAACCCTAAAACAAAGAAGTATGTGCACCAAAAAGTCAATAGTGCCCAGGTTGAGAAACCCTGGTTTAACATTACTTTAGGAAAGATATTGAGGATCCTGGTCATCTTATTTTAAAAGCAAAAGGAAATATTCCACTCATGATTACACAGTGTTTTTTTTCCTTTATTATACTAAACAATATCTCCTCATTTCCTGAGAAAAGTCACCTAGAGCACTGAATGGAGTAAACAGAGCAGATCTACCCCATACACGAGAAGACGGTGGTTTATCACGTTATCCAAGCACCTTATGAGATAGAAATGTGAGAAGCACATTGGCAATCATCAGAGTTCAGAGTAACAGAGAGTCATCATCAGATGTAAAGGAATTTTCCCTACACTCACGTTCCTTCCATTAACTTGGGGCTTCTTCAGACTTGAAGAGACAGTACCTTTAGTGTTCATTATATGATGCACAACTCGTTTGATTCTCCCCCCCCCTTGAGATATATCTGTATCTATATAGATATATATATAGATATGTCATTTGATTTTTTGTTTGTTTTGTTTTTGTTTGATTTTTTAACGGATTAAGTCTCCATA